CCTTCGCTCTCGCCAGGTCTTGGGTCCGCTACGCAGCCTGTCAGCTGGGGCTTCTCTGTTCCCGAAGTCCGATCGGGGCTCTCGGGCGGCCCACCCCGCGTCAGATTCTTGACCGCGTCCTACCCACGACAGCGGCCAAGGTGGCGGCGAAGCGTCGGGCCTCCAGCCGATCTCTCCGTCTGTAAAACTCGGATCCCGATGCATCCGAGGGCAGCTTTTGAAGACGGAAAGAGCCTCAGTTTATGTTTACGAATTTAACCTTCTCGAGTTTGGTGGTTAGAATAGAGGGTTCATCCCCGAGATCTGGCTTTTGATCGTACACTTCAGGGACAGGAGGTCAGTACCTCAAAGAGCAGCCTGTTTCCATTTGGGGACGAACTAAGATCTTCCTCGCCGAACTTTCATTGTCTGGTTTTACTCAGAGCCACGCTAAGCCATCCCTAAGTTCAGAGACAGCTGCCATCTGCCCTCCCACACCCTTCTTGTGGCTTCATGCTTCCATGTTCCTTCACCTGACCGTTACATGGCCACTCATTCTGGTAATCCTCTTCTGGATTCATTCCCATTTTTCAGATTCTCCCAAAACTAGGTTCCTAGAGTACGTTTGTAAGTAACACAGTTCTCAAGTCAGATTTGAATTCTAATTCAGGGTTCTGCCAACTCAAGTATGTGACTTTGGGTAAGTCCCTTAACTTTTCTAAGCCTCAGTTTTCTCATCTGAAAATAGGGATAATCATATTTATCTCCAGACGGTTGTGAGGATGAAAGGAGTTGAAGAACACAAAATATTGAGAGTGCTAACTAGCACATAGTACTCAATTGATGTCAGTTATTTTTTGAATAGATAATTCCCCAAAGAAGTACCATTTTCTTAGAGTCACATGAGAAATATAATAATAGCATAAAACACTTTTCATCCAGTCATCTAAGGAAGGTTTTTAAAGTGATGTTAATGCTAGGCATGTTCAGTGAAGACAGTACTTTAGTCAAGTGATAGTACAATTTGCTACAAGCATTTTGGAAAGCAATGGAAATATATGTCAGGAACTTCAGACATGTCAGTTACTTTATTTCACAAATGCCCATCTAAAGCTGAACATTTTCTGAGAAATAATCATAATGCAGAAAATAAGCAGAAAGATGGTAATTATAGCATTATTTATAATAGTGAAAACATTTAAACTTTTTATAGTGGAAAATTTTAACATACACGAAAGTACAATAGGTGAATGAACCCATGTGCTCACCATCATCCAGCTTCAACAATCAATATTTTGCCTCTTGTTTTTGTAAAAAAATTTTAAACTTATGAAATGTCTGAAATTAGAATAGTCAAATAAACTGGGCTACATATATTTAAAATACTATGAAACTTTTAAAATAATACAGAATATATGGTATTATCACAACTATGAAAATTCAAAAACTAATATCCAGTCTGTGTAGAGGAAAAGACAGGAAGTACAGTAAAATATTAGTTTCCCTTTGGTGGTGGGACTGGATGATTCTCTGCCTGTCTATTTTTAGGTATTTTTATAAACATTCCATAAGAATCATGTATTGCTGTTCTAACAAACAATGAACAAACCAAATCTAAAATAGTGTACCTTAACCAAGGACAACAGAATATGCCAGAGCAGGCTCACTGTTACAGAGAAAAAAGATGCTTTAACTTCCCTTGATCTATTTTCACAGCCTATGTTTACATGAGCATTCTTATCTGCTATCTGGTGCTAGTGCTTCATATTGAGCTCATATGGTCAGCTAATCCAGCCAGATCTTTAACCAACCATCCTCTGTGCGTAAGTGATTGGACTTTGAAATTTCGTTCCTCTTATTTTGACCAGCGTTTCCCCTCAGGGTAGAGCAGGATTTCCAGTGATAAGATGGCTTTTCTTTCCATTTCTTCTTTTCTTTGTCCTGGGCAGGGATTCAACTCATACCTCCTGCATTTACACACTCTTCCTAAAACAGCCACTTGGAACAATTTAAGTAAGATAGTTCTATCACAAATTTTTTTCCTACTCAAATGGATTATAATGAGATCTGACCAAAAATCTATTCTGCTTTTGGTTGGTGAACTGGATCCAGTTTTTAAAACGACATAGTACATTTAAAAACAAGTTAAGGGAGAGGGGAGGTTATAGCTCTGTGGTAGAGTGCCCGCTTAGCACGCAGAACCTCCTGGGTTCAATCCCCAGTACAGTCATTAATAAATAAACAATAACGATAAAAAGATAATAAACCTAATTACCCCCCCAAAAGAAAATAAATTAAAAATAAAAACAGTTAAGGGAGAGGTCACCTTAAAAGAAAATGTGTAAATGAGTTTTGTTTCAGATGAGTTTGTGAAGAAACTTTATTTCATAGGTATGCAAAGAAGCCTTTTCACACAGATGTCCTTAGAGATAATATGGATCAGTCCGGAGTTCTCCTCTGGGTGAAAGCGGAACCCTTTATAGTGGGCGCCTTGCAGGTCCCCCCTCCATCCAAGTTCAGTCTTCACTATCTCAGGAAGATATCCACCTATGTGCGAACCCGGGCCACAGAGGGAGCTTACCCACGCCTGTCCTGGTCTACGTGGAGGCACATTGCATGTGGGAAGCTGCAGTTGGCTAAGGATCTGGCGTGGCTTTACTTTGAAATATTTGATAGTCTTGCAGTGAAGACACCAGAGGAGCGTCTGGAATGGTCTGAAATTCTGTCCAACTGCGTGTCTGAGGATGAAGTCGAAAAGCAAAGAAATCAGGTATGGATTTATATGTATGTGTATATATATGTGTGTGTGTGTGTTTAATTACTTTGGGAAGTAAATTATTTTAAGTTTTCATTCTGGCTGAACAGTGTGCAGTTGTGGGTTAATGACCATGTGATTCCAAAGCACTATTTAAGTTTTAGCAGTTCCAGTTTGGCAATTTAACGAATTAGTCCTTACTTAAAAATTGTTACTCATCTACTTTCAAAGCAGTAATGTTACAGGAACCCTGTAATTGGAAGATGGAAATATTTTCATTGACATTAAAACTATTTTGAGGTAAGTGAGCATCTGCTATGTGCTGGGATTCAAAGACGATTAGAACAGCAGCTCTGACCTCGTGGAGCTCATAGACTAGCAGGGGAAGCTGGTGTGTAAAAAAAAGTGGTATTTAATTGTATGGCATGTACAATAAAAGTATGCATAAAGTACATAAATAGAACAGAGAAGAGAATGATTAATTCTGGTGCTGAAGAAAGACTTCACAGAGAAAGGGTGTTAATCAGGGTAGGCTAATTACAGTAACAAGCAATCCCAGCATGTCAGCGGCTAGGCGCCGTAACAGTTTCTTTCTTACTCATATGGCAGTCCAGCATAGGGCATCTGGATGCATGAACTTCTAGGCTGCTGTTGTCTAAGCAGTGACTCAGGGACCTAGGCATCTTCTGTCTTTGGGAGCCGCTTTATTATTAGTCTGCTTTGCTGCAGTTAAAAAGAAAACAAAAATGAAATTCCAGTGGCTTACAGTAACTAAGATTTATTTCTTGCTTATTTTACATGTAGGCTGCACCTTAGCTATGGCTGTCTTCCAGGTTGTGGCTTAGCTCTATGTGTCTGCCCATTTGGGGACTCAGGCTGAAAAAGCAGCTCCTGTGTAGGTCACGTCTGTTCTTGTGACAGAAGGAAAGAGCAACAGAGCAGGAGAAAAGTCTTGATGCCTTTTAAAACTTTTGCTCACATGTTATGTAAACTGCAACTGCTTTCATTCCACTGGGTAAAGCTTTGTCACAGGTCCATGCTTAGAATCAATAAGATGGGAGATAAACTACTCACAGGAGGTAGGGAAATCCCATGGCCATGGGTGGGGCCGTGTAAGCCTCTTGGAGGATGGGGAAGTGAACAGTTGCAAATAGAATATGGTTTGCCCCAGCCATGCCCACTAGGGCCTGAGTCCCTCACTTCCATTCCTTTGGGAGAGGTTTCAGGAGGCTTGAAAATGGTATATGTAAATCCACCCACATTCCATTGATTATAACCCAGTTATACCATATCCAACTCCAAGGGAGGCTGAGAAATACCACCTAACTGTGTGCCCAGGAAGGAAAGATACTTAGTGAGCATCCAGCCAGTCTCGGCCACATGGGGTAACATCTGAACAAGGTTTTGGAAATTGTAAAAAAGTTTGGCAAGCAACAAAGAGAAGGGCATTATAATTAATAATTAAGAATTTATTGAGTGCCTGTTATGTGCTAGGTACAGCAGTGGATGCTGTGGATACAGAGAGGAATCAAACCAGAAGCCCCAAATTTTTTGAGTGCTTACTATATACTAGTTTCTTTAGTAGTTACTAGGAATATAAAAATGAAAAAGACAAGGATCTTGTAGTCTCATGGGGGTCAGGTATATGAAGGAATAATGGTGATATAACAGATAATTGATGGAAGTATGTATAAAATCAGAGAATTATGTTGAGTGAAAAAAGCCAATCCCAAAAGGTGACATACTGTATGATCCTAGTTATAAAACATTCTTGAAATGACAAAACTATTGGGATAAAGAACAGATAAATAAATGGTTGTCAGGGGCTGAAGAAGAAATAAGGGAGGGAGGGAGGGAGGGAAGAGGGAAGTGGGTGTGGCTATAAAAGTGCAACATGAAGGATCCTTGTGCCGGTGGAGGTGCTCTGTGCCGTGACTGCACCATGTCAGCACCCTGTCTGTGCCCTGTGTGATAATTTTCCAAGATGAGAAACTGGGTAAAGAGTACGTAGGATCTCTCTGTCCTTACAGCTGCATATAACTTAACAGTTACCTCCAAAAGTTTAATTAAGAAAGTAAAAATTTTTTAAAATATGTAGATTCATGAGGTTCCACACTGACAATTGACTAAATAGGTCTAGGTGATTTTGAGAATCCATATTTTTGAGTTCCTTATGCACAGTGAGCTTTAGCCAGGTTGGGAATCAGGGTGAACATAGCTGTAGTCCCAGCTGTATTACTTCAGTTTTTTGCCTCTCTTGTGTGCATATGGGAATGGGTATCTGAGAATAATCCTGAGCGTCAAATCCTGAGCTTCAAACCACACTCTTCTTCAAATAGGAAATGACTTATAAACATCTGTCAGGCCAGTAGAATTTATTTTTTTAAAGTAAAATACCCTTTTAAGAATTTGATGAAAACCTGAGGCCTACTCCCCGCCAAAATGCATAGACACCAAAAAATTACATACAATTTCAGGTGTTGCACTGATATCCTGAACTTTCTTGATAAGTTTGTGATTAGGTTAAATTAACCTCTGCGTCTTGATTAAATTTCCTTCTTCTTTTCCTTCATCTATTCGTTTGTTTATTCAAATTACTAAGGTGTTTTTTAAAACTGTAATTTTAAATTTCTGAAATTATATGCTTTAAAAAAGTATGTCCCTCATCCTTTCCACTTCATCAGTTTTGGGAGAGAGTTTCTACAGCCACAGATACTACATAGCTTTCTGAGAAAGTAAGTGACTCCAATTTAATTAGTTTTAGAAACTCCTACATCTGGGTATCAGAGATATCAAAAGCTAGCAACGTTTCTACATTTGTCTTGTTAGGATCAGCACATCGTTGTGAATTTATTTTACTGTGTCTTCTTTGTTGTAGACTAGTAATTGACGTGGTTTTAGAACATGTGTTCATCATTTATTTTCTTTTTGGACAGCTTTCAGTGGACACCCTACAGTTTCTGCTCTTCTTATATATACAGCAGTTAAACAAGGTCTCCCTGAGAACATCGTTGATTGGAGAAGAGTGGCCTAGTCCCAGAAACAGATCTCACTCTCCTGACCTCACTGAAAAGTCCAGTTGTCATAATAAGGTACTGTTTAAATTATGGCCTCTTTCTCTGAAACAGACAGTTTATGAGGGAGATTGTTTGTCTTCATTAAAAATTACGTTAGACTATTTATATAAGCTAGAGATTGGCTGGCTTGTTTTGTCTGTTTTGCGTTTTACTTTTTTTCCCTAATTATAAAACAAAATCAATATGTGCAGTCTTAATCAAAATAGAGAAGTGATTTCAATTCCTTTAGCAACACAAAAATCACCTAAATGACTTTCCAGCAAATCATTCACTGTACTCTTATTAGCATTCCCATTTTTGCAAATGTTAATGAATTTGATTACACATGATTTTAGGCAGGTCAGTTAACTTCTCTAGCTTGGCTTCTCTTCTCTAAACAGGGATGATAATGCCTATTTCTGAATGGCTGTGAGAATTCAGTAATATGTTAGCATGAGGCTTGTTGAACAGTGAGCACCAGTATATGGTGGCTTTAGTTTGTCCTGTAGCATGACCTCTCCCAGCAACTGATTAGACCAGGGATGGACACTTGACCTGAGTAACCCATTCCTAGGTTTGTGTTTGAAATTGGCCTGATCTGAAATGATGACCTGGCCCAATCAGTACCCCCAGCAACTGAAGAAATAACCAGTTGGCGATAGGTATTTGAGATGGTAGCTCATGTGACTTTGGGACCAGAATAGCTACCATATCCATGAGTGACTAGGAGTTAAGAGAGCTTAGAAACTCTGAGGTAGGAAGAAACTCTGAGAAAAACAGAATGGAACAGACATGCAGAGAGGCCTGAGAGAACCAGGATGGAGATGGCTGTCCAGTTCCAGTTCTGATGAGGCCTCCCTGAATGCTTCAGTTTGGGAGATGACTATGTGTCCCCACAGTAAAATTTCCTTTTATTTTAATTAACTTGTATTCCCTGTGCCAGTGAAAGTTACCACCACCCATACCTAATTAGTTGTCAAGTCTTACTGATTCTGCCTCAAAAAGAACTCTTTAAAAATTTCTTTTTTTTCCCTCTTTTATAGGCCCTATTGTCATTTTGGTTTTGCCTTGATTTCTGTAATTAGGTCCTACTTGGTCACCTTACTTTGAGTCTATAGTCCACCTACTACATTGGACTTTCTAAAATGCAGATGATTTGTATCTCCTGTCGAAACTCCATCAGTGAATTCTCATTGTCATTGTTGTTCTCATCTTGCACCCTTCGGCACCTTCTCAGGGCCTACCTCCTGCAGGGCAGGGGAATGCAGTAAGAGGGAGGAAGAGCAGGTGAGCCGTGGATAGCTCAGCTTTGACATGTTCTTTGGTATCCAAATGAGAGTTTATTAAAAAGAAAGAAAGAAATAGCTGTTTATAAAATAGTTTGGAAGCCTCTGGCACACAAAATAAAGTCCAGCTGTCTTAGCATTTCATACAAGGCCTTTTGTGAATGGCCTCTGCCTACATTTTAACTTCACCTGCCACTTCCCAGCATACTTCCTACACCCCACTCAGAGCTTCCACTTCTCTGAACACAGCAGGTAATTTTACTCCTGTGCGCCTTTGGATATTGTTCCCTAGACCTAAAGTGCCTTTTCCCTTATCTGTTTGCATAACTACCGACGTCAGTCAAGGATCTATTCAATCAATGCTTCACTAAGGTTTGTTTTCCTTGAGTTCTTTGTTACTCTCATGTTCATAGAACGTCTTAACAGATCTCTGCCATAGGTTTTATCTCATTGTGTTATAGTTATTGGTTTATATTGGCATTTCACTACATAGATCCTGAATTCCTTGAGGATAGGAACTATATCTTATTCAATTAGCATAAATCATCACTTAACATTGCTCATACCCCATAATATCTATCAAATGAATGAGCCAAATTGTTGGAACATCTGCCAACTCAGTTTATTCCCAAAGTTGTAACTTCCCTTAAATCTGGTTACTGTAAGATCAGTTGCCTTGTTTCATCCAGTGGAATTTGAAATTCCTTCTGTGATTTGAGAAGGTAAAGAAAGAAACCAACTATTACATGAAATGAATGCCCGAGATGGTTATTTTTATGTTTGATCCAAAACTTTTAGAATATTTACTAACTGTGTGACCTTGGGCTAGTTTCTTAGCCTTTCTGTATCTCCATTTCATTGTAAAGCGGGCGTGGTAATGCCATCTGTTGTATGACTGTTGCTAGGATTAAATATGTGAAAGTTTGTATAACAGGGCTTGGCACACACTCAGGGTAGGCTGTTAGTATTACTTTTGAATTGGCTAAGGTAGAGAGAGAAGCTGTGTATACCTATCACATGCACAGAAAATATGAGGTTTATATTGCCATCTTACTGACTTTCAAAAACACCACTTTTGGGGAGATGAGGCAAAAGATAAATACAAAATAAGTAACATATAAAAGTTTTTAGGTCTTCGAGAATCTCTTTGTTCTGTTAAGAGTGCTTTCTTTTGATATTTTTTAGAACTGGAATGATTACAGTCACCAAGCTTTTGTCTATGATCATCTGTCAAATCTCCTTGAGCTGCTTTTAGATCCAGAACAACTCACTGCATCATTTCATTCAACCCATAGTAGTCTAGTCTCTCGAGAAGCTGTCATGGCACTCAGCTTTCTTATTGAAGGGACAGTGAATAGAGCCAGGAAGATATATCCACTTTATGAACTTGCACTGTGGCAACCACTGCATGCAGAAAGTGGCTTCTCAAAGACCTCTAAGACCTTTTCTTTCTGCAAGCTGGAAGCCTGGTTGAGAGCCTGTTTGACTGGGAATCCATTTGGTACATCTGCTTGCCTCAAGTCTGGAAAGAAATTGGCTTGGGCTCACCAAGGTATTTATTAATATTTTAATCTATATTAAGTTGAATGACAGATTAAGGGACCTCAGAGAGTTGGTGTAAAGATGAAGTTCTTTTTAGCTACACAGACACATTGGAAATTCAAATTTATAGTAGAGAGAATCTGGCTTTGGTTGCAAAGGTGTCTCTTCCTGATAGACCAGTGATGGCTAAAGGGATAGGTTCACGTACTATATGACTTCCTGGGGCCCAGGTATAAGTTTTAAGAGAAAAGGAGCCCAGATAGAGGTTAAAAGAGAAGTAGGTGCCTACACAGTGAGGCAAGTGCCAGGCGAAATTAATGGGGGAAAGAAAACTAGAATATACTTCCACAATATCTGAATTTCAAAGATAAAGAAAAAATAGGTTCCATGCAAATGTAAAAAAAAAACAGTTTTGTATCAAATTTTTATAATGCAGAAAACCAGAAAATGGCACCATCTACAGAGTGTGGAGCAAAGAGATTGTGATCCAAGTATTTTATATCCAGCCAAGCTATTGCTCTAGCATGAGGTCAGAGACTCAGATATGTAAGGCTCCTATATATACATAAGAGATACTAAATAATGTTTGATGTTGATAAAAGAATATAGGTGCAAGTAAGTTTTTAAATTTTAGGGTAGGAAAAAGAAGGGCATCTAACCTCTTAGGATTATACAAAACTGTGATAGATATTAGGATGACAGATAATTTTTATCTTTTACTACTAGTATTTAACATTTCTTCTGCAATAACCATGTTTTACTTAGCTATAAAACGAAAACAGCAAGAATTGTTTCAAAAGAAGAATAACACACTGTATGACCTCTCCACATTTAACCAGTATCTCTTTACAAGAGCGTCCTGATGGTTTGCAGGGAAGTACAGTCTGAGAAGGCAATGATATAAAGGCAGGACTGAGTTAGGAGGGCAGCCTGCATAGATTTTTTGAGTGTGAGTTTGTGCAAGGTGCTGTGTATGAGAGGAAGATGTGCTTTCAGTTAGTAGTATCTTGGGACTGAAGACGTTAACCCGAGTAGAATTCATGGAATGACGCTGTAAGTAATTTGGGAGGGATTCAAATTCAGTATTAATGGTAATTTAAAGAGATGATTTAAAGGTTGGGATGATAAATTAGGGCAGGTTGGAGAAGATATTTGAGTTGTGTCAGCTCTGCCACTTAGTAGCCATATGACTTTAGGCACATAACTTGAAGAGTAGGCATGGAAAAATCATAGATATATAGGCAATCTTGAGTGGATTATAGGTTTAAAAAATTTTGTAACAAAAATTTTTGAAATACTGCAAAAATAAGGAGAAGTAAAGAGAATAGTACAGCAAACATCTCTTTACTCAACACCCAGATCAAACATTTTTTAAACCTCATATGTATCTAATTTTAGACATGTAGACATGTAGACATGTAACCTCATGTGGCTGATTGTTTTCCTTTGATTTGAAACTATCTCATGTATTTCTGTTTGTCTTGAATAGTTGAAGGGACAACCAAAAGAGCTAAGATTGCTTGTAACACTCACTTGGCCCCTCGGATGCACCGCATGGTGGTGATGAGCCAGGTTTACAAGCAGACATTGGCCAAGAGCTCAGATACTCTGGTGGGGGCACATGTAAAGATTCATCGTTGCAACGAATCTTTTATATATCTGCTCTCTCCCTTACGGTAAGCACAGTCTTCATAGTGTTCTGACGTTGTGACATTTTCTTTGGACCAGGGTTGATCTTTTCTCCTCCCCCTCCTCCCCCCTTCCTCTTCCTCTTCTTCCTCCTCCTCTTCTTCCTCTTCTCCTCCTCCTTCTTTTTTGCCATCAGATAATAATATTGTAGTCACATATTTTTTATCTTATTCTTACTCAGAGAAATTTCTCTCATTTTTCAGATCTGTGACAATTGAGAAGTGTAGGAATAGCACCTTTGTCCTGGGCCCTGTACAGACTGCTCTTCACCTCCACAGCTGTGATAACGTCAAAGTCATTGCTGTTTGCCATCGCCTATCCATCTCTTCTACCACAGGTTGCATCTTCCATATTCTGACACCTACACGCCCACTTATTCTCTCTGGGAACCAGAGAGTAACGTTTGCCCCTTTTCATACCCATTACCCAATGCTGGAGGACCACATGGCCAGGACCGGCCTTGCTACTGTGCCTAACTGTTGGGACAATCCCATGATCATGTGCAGAGAGAACAGCAGCACAAGTGTCTTCCGACTCTTACCTCCGTGCGAATTCTATGTATTTATTATTCCCTTTGAGATGGAAGGGGACACAACAGAGATACCTGGGGGTCTTCCATCTGCATATCAGAAAGCACTGGGCCAAAGAGAAAAGAAAATACAAATCTGGCAGAAAACTGTGAAGGAGGCTTGTTTGACAAAGTGAGTATTTTCTAGAAACAGTAATTTGTCTTACGTGAAACTGCATGCATGGGAAGGTAGATTAATCTGCATGTTTATAGCTGTGCTAAAATAATAAAAAAGACATAGTATGTCATTTGTTAGGGTCAGTATTCCAGGCACATTTGGTTGAGGGATAGGAACAAGTGGATACCCAAGTATTAGACCCCCTACTTTTAAGAAGCTTAAGTTTAATTGGCAGACATAGAGCTTAAATGAATGAAGGAGCATATATAGACTATGTCACATAATCCAATACATGAATGGATTGGTTTTAGTTTTTAATTTACTTCTCTGTACTATACTGGTGGTTCTCAAGCTGGGTTGTACATCAGAATCATCCAAAGAGCTGGTTAAAAATACAGGTTTCCTGGCTCCACCATTCCACAGACAGACTCCCCAAAGGTGGACTTCTAATGCTGGTCCCTGGATTAATGCCAGTTTTTGTCAAAGTTTTCCTAATTCATAGTGAAGTATGAAATAAAAGTATAGCGTTTTAAAATAAAGCTAAATTTGATTAATTTAAGATACTGTCTTTTATCCTGAGATTCTTTCTTTCCCGCTTTGACAGTTCTGAATACTTTATTTTTAATAACATGCTTATGATAGTAGGTGGATATGGTTTATTATGTCCGCCACAAATTTTATTTCAATGGTATTGGTCTTTAAACTCTAGAAGCCAGGGAACCACTGTGTACAAACCATATATAAAGATTCAGAAAACATCAGTGTGGGTAGTCAGGGAAGGCTTACGGAGGAAGTAGAGCTTGTGTTGGACCTTGAAAAATGAGCAGAGTTTGGGGAGGAAGTGAGGATTGGGTCGATACTTTTAACAGCACTAGAGGAGGAGATGTGGAAGCAGAAGCAGACCTTAGGTAGCCTGGAAATCAGTCGCTGAAACAGGATTCTGGGTATGCGGTAGTGGTATTTAAACTTGGTTGGGTAGACTGAGCCAGATTATGTAGAATCTTGAATAGCAGGCAATGAAAGTTAGATTTAAGTGGAATTAAGTAGCAAGAGCCATAAAAGGGTTTTGAACAATGGAATGAAGTTCAGAAAGCTGTTTCATTTACTCAGGGACATTTACAGAATGCCTACAATACACATAGCACTTTATTAGATGCTATGGCAGATTAAAACATGTGATTGGTACATATGGAGATCCTCTGGTTAGATTTGAAAGAGGGAAGTGAAGGTGGTATTACAGGAGTCTAGGCTAAGAAACTGGACTAGAGTGGAGAGAAAGGGGGTGGAGACCAGAAATACTTTGACAGGAAGCAGGATTTGGTATAAGACTTTGTAAAACAGACAAAAAAATTAAAGATGACTCCAAAAATTAGAGCCCAGTTTAGAAACATTTGATTTATCAGTTTTCTTCTGGACAGAACAGCACATGCAACTTAAAAGCAGACGATGCTCAGAATAAGTAGTTACTGTTTGCACCAGTGTTTTGGTATTTAATTAAACTTTGTTAGAGATTTTAGGAAGGGAAACTAGAGACATTACAGCACCAAATGGTAAAGGATTGCTTCTTATACAACATTGTCCAAAGGGAACTGGGGCTACCTTGAGAAAAGGGTATCAAGTTCTTCTGGTGGATGTTTCCATGAAGTCTCCTGTATCCTGATAATGCCTTGATCATTATGATCCTTTCCCTTAAGAATGAGAAAAACTTTTACTTTAATAATTGGATCCTATTTGCTTGGTATTCATTTTCTTTTTTTCCTGATTGTCATTATCTTGCAAAATAGCATCCATTCCAGAAATATTTTCTATTTCTGACAATACTGAATTGCTCTTTGATATGTAAGTAAAAATGCTTATTTTAATTAGCTCTCTTAGTGTGTTAGATTTTAAAGTTAGTGTTCTTCTTTGGATAACTGTGTCTATATTGTAGTGGAAGCTACTCTGACTTAGGAATTAGTACTGACCGTGCCACTTGTGTGACATTGAGTGTGTCATCTGACCTCTCTGGCTCTTAGCTGTACCATATATGAAGTATATTTTCTACCTGATGAGATTGATATAAAGGTTTAATAAGATAGCTTATAGTAATGATGCACGTGTAAGACAGTGTAGTGGTGTGTGCTGTACAGTGTGGAATAGTCTGAGTATAAGGCACCCTTGTTTAGTGATGAGTTTGTGAGACACATCTTCTGGGTGAGATTGTTCACTCAGAAGATCTGAGACCTAACCTGTTAGGATCACCTGTATTCTAAGAGAAATAGTAATTGGAAAAAGGCTTGATCCAGCCGTGCTATTTTCTAGATGCATTCTTGTGGCTTTGTTCTCATCATACAGATTAAGGAAGGAAGTGTATAATATATAGTTACACAGCTGCATTTAGAATCTTTAAAACAGTTGCTACCTGCCCCAAATTATAAAGGTCAGTAACAGCCACAACTCACGCTTTACTTTGGAATCCGTTGTGCTAATACTGCTGTTATCCATTACAAACATTCCACCTGGTTTGTACCTCATGGACTAAGCCACCAGGATACTAATACTACAGACCAGTCATTCTCAGCTTAGCAGAATGATGATGATGACTATAATAATAGGAAATATGTATTGAGCACTTATTGTGTGCCAAGTACTATTCCAAGCACCTTCTGTGTGTTAACTTGCTTATTCTTCATAACAGTTTCCTCTCACAGATGAGGAAACTGAGGAACAGAGAGAGTTAAGTAATTTCCCCAAAGTCACACAGGAGCCAGCATTCACACCTAGTCAGCCTGTTTCCAGAACCTGGGTTCTTGGTGTCTTTATTGTTTTCTGTGAGCTGTTGTTATAAATAATGCGATCATTATAATAATGTGATATAAAAATGGATCATGAGGAAAAACATTCTTTTAAAACAATTCTTTTGGTTGAATGCTTCTGGTATTAGGTGCCTAGATTTTCTTACACATGAAAATCTTGTATACATGCACAGAGTCTGGAATGTGGCAAGCATTTAAAAAATGTTGACTGAATAATAGATATTCAAGTGGTGAGATCCATGATAACACTAGAAACAAGGAAAAGCATGCAATTTAACTTTGGGAATACAGGAAGACAGAAGAATTACTGACCAATTTGAAAACAAACTGCCAACGTGCTCTCTTAAAAGTGATTAGATTATGTCACTTCCCTGCTCTGGCCCCTCTAACGGCTCTCCATGGAATAAAATCTAAAACCTTGTGGTACTTACCAGGCCATCTTTGCCTCATTTTCTGCCTTTCTTTTCCTCATCCACTGCCCTTCCGCCACACTGCAATCTTCTTGCTGTTAATGTGGTCGTTGCCCTCCGGTCAAACACCACCAGGAACGTATCTGTAGAATAAAGTTAGATTTTATTACTCATTATAAGAATGGAGAGAGCTAGTTTCATTTCCATAAAAGCATGTTTAAGGAAGTTATAATTGGATTTAGGCTGTGCTAGATGATTTGGCGGAGGGTTCTGGGAAGCAGGGCTTTGTTGTGGGTTGGATGCAATCTGAAAGTGAGGGCAATTCTGTGATTTGGTATCTTAATAATTTTTGTATCAAAGACGGGAGGAATAAAGGAGCTAAAGCTATCATCGTAAAGAAGCAGCAGTCGCTCATTAGCCTGGAAAGGTGATATTAAGTCATTTTTATGGTTTGGACCACAAAATGTTTTTGTTTTTGTCTGGACCTGAGATGTGACTGTGGAGTGATTTTATTTTTGCCTTGATCTATCATCATCCCTTAGGGCCCTTGTCTAATGTTGGTGTGCTGTGGAATTGTTGATGTTTGACAGAAGAACACCACGGCCAGGCCAGATCCTGGCTACACCCAGGCCTAGCTGATGGTGCTAGCTTCCTAGCTCCCAGCTGTCAGGAGCTTCTCTTCTTTCTCTTCTCCTGAACATGTTAAAAATCCTCTCACTTTAGAGCCTTTGCACTTTTTGTTTCTTCTGCTTGGAATGTTCTTCTCCAGATATTTATTTTACTTAATCTGTCATTTCACTCAGATCTCTGCTTGTGTCACCTTAGGCTTCTTCTGTCCATTCTTTTTCTAAGTTAGCATTCCCAAATTCTTGATTTCCTTACCCTGCTCTGTTTTTCTCCAAGGCATTTATAATTATCTACGTTCATGTATATTCTTTTTATTTATTACCTATCTTCCCTACTAAAATATACAGTCCACAAGGAGCACAGACTACATAGATCCCAGTGCGAATGGCGCCCTCTGGAGTCGTGCAGCATAAACCTGCCCGGAAACAGAGGCCTTTTCTCTTCTCTTTACATTTATCCCCATCGGTCAGAACACTGCCCAGCATCTCTTGGTCCTCAGTGAATATCTGTTGAATGAATAACCACAGTATAACTAAACATATAATTACTGAGTTTTTACAAAGAGGGAATTGTATCTGAACAATCTTTTTTTTTTGGTGGTGGTGATCAAAATGGACAGAACTGAACAGAGCAGTTATTTGGAGAGATCAAAGGGAAAACAAGAAATAATTTAATGTTTATCCAGTTAAAGTATTTTATAATCACTTGGAATAAAATTAATATGAATTAGTGTTCTTATATTCTTTTTGCTCTCAACTGCAATTTTAGGGATCAAAGGAAGCAGTTCCAGGTACTTGTGGAAAACAAATTTTATGAGTGGTTAATTAATACAGGACACCAGCAGCAGCTGGACAGCCTTGTGCCCCCTGCAGCGGGCTCCAAACAAGCAGCAGGATAAGACTTCCTCATCAGAACACCGGTAGGCATTTATAACGGAGATGACTTACATTATTTTGGGGAAATCTTTTTTTACATACCAAAAAAATACGGAAAGTTTGTTTCTGACCACTGCTAATTTTTTTCCCGTTGTTTCCACCAGCATATAGATTTTTACATACTCGTTTACCACATTTTATAGTGAGAAGACCAACCAAAATATTCAGGTGGAGCCTGTAGAATTATGAGCAAATACAATAGCCAAATTTCTCTTTTTTGCCTCTTGCCTGGCGTAAGTTGTACTGTCCAAAGTTGTACTGTACTTCCCCATACATAGTTTTAAATTTTGTGCCTTCTAACACGTTTCCTCCTTCCTATCACCTCACAATTAATAAGTTACACATGAACCAATTAATAAGTCAGCTAATCTTTGTTAGCTACACATATGAGCATTAATAAGTTACCGGAATTAATCCAAATGAAGATTTGAATAGTGAACTCTAGGAGACCTACAGATTCAACAGAAGAGAACATGGATACAGAAACATTTACTGGACGTTGTTTATTCCAAATATGTAATTTTTTTATAGAGATCTTTTTGCTATTTTTAAGTACTTTAACCAATAGAAAAACAGACAAAGAACATAAATAGCTCACAGAAAGATACTAATAAACACAAAGATGCTCATTTTCACTTAAAATTAAAGAAATGTAAGACTATTTTTCATCTATCACATTGGCAAGGATCAAAAACATAGTATACGACACTGATAAGACATTTCACTTGCTGCTGGGGAAAGCGTAGATTTGTGCAGCCTTTTTGGAGGATAGTTTGACAAAATCAAAATTAAAAATGCACACGTTCTTTAACTTTGCAACTTCACTTCCTAGATTTATCTTACAGATACACTCATGTATGTAAAGATCGGCTTAAAAGAGATGTTCATTGTAGCATTGTTTGAAATAGCTCTAGACTGGAAACAAGCCAAATGCTTCTCAGTAGAGGGCTGGTGCCTAATGAATACTCAGTTCAATAAACATTCCATGCCATGGAAGGCATCTTTAAAAAGAATGAAGTATATATCTGTAATGTGCTGATATGCAATGATCTCTAAGGTGGGAGTCGAGGGGGTGAAGGAAAAATGTGGAGGGGGTAAAGTGTTGCCTTGTGTGTTTGAAAAAAGGAGAGGGATAATCATACACATTTATATGCTAATTATGTGCCTTAAATTTTCTGAAAGGATATAAAGAAATTGTAAATGGTGTTTGTCTTTGAGGGATGAGACTGGGTGTCTAGGGTAGGAGAAAACTTACTCTTAATTTTTATGGCGATATAATTCACATACCTTAAAACTCAACTTTTTTAAAGAATTCAGCAATTTGGGTTATATTCACAAGTTTGTATAACCATCACCATTAACAAACCCAGAACATTTTTATCACCCTAAAAGTAAACCCCATACCCACTGATAATCACTCCCAATTCCTCCAACCCCGTTATCCCCTCTGCCCCCTGGTCCCTGGCAACCACTCACCTGCTTTTTGTTGCTTGATCTGTCCATTCTGGACATTTCATATAAACAGAATCAAACAACATGTGGACTTTGTGTGTGGCTTCTTTCACTTAGCATAATGTTCTCAAGGTTCACCTATGTTGTAGCATGTGTCAGTACGCCATTCCTTTTTGTGGCTGGATAGTATTCCATTGTATGGACATACCACACTTTGTTCATCAGTTGACGGACATTTGAACCGCTTCCACTCTTCAGCTCTTGTGAATAATGCCACTATATGTACTTCCGTGTACAAGTTTTTGTGTAGAGAGATGTTTTTATTTCTCTTGGGTATACTATATGGAGGAGTAGAATTGCAAGGTCATATGTTTAACTTCTTCAGGACTCACTGAACTCTTTTCCAAAGCTGTGTAAACTTATTCTTTGTTGTTTACTTTATATTGTTTTCATTTTTAAAGTGTATTACTTTTCATAAAAAATAATTTTTACAATATTTAGTTAATAAGTGCTGAAATTAAGAATTAGAAATCTAATGAAGATTATACAAAGGAAGTGGTAACTATAAGAGGATAAAATTTTAGTTTAGACTAATCCCCGTAGCCTGCTACTTTATGTCTATGTGTGAATTTCTTTTCTTCTATTATGAACTAATGTGACTGTCGGAAAAAAGGAGTATAAACTTTTAACTTCAGATATTTTATCACTTTAAATTATCATCTGACCTTGATTTATGTGATTTTATGAAAAGAATTTTTTCCTATTGTTTGCATGAAGGCAATAGAAAATAAGTTGTTAGCATTATTCTTTTTTTATTCTCAGGGCCCTGGCAACATGAGGATGAGTGGCAGATGGCCACATGTGGAAACTAAATTGGGAAGGTGCTCCTGCTGCTTAAGAGACTTTGGAGTTTCTGTTGTTTTTTTTTTTTCCTGTTCAAGACCTCTCCTTAATTTTCCTTCCATTCTTACTTGTTACTGTTTACATTGAATTTTAGCTAAACTTCTGACTATCGTAGAAACATACTGTTTATTGAACATCAGAAGGCTCATTTTGTGATGCTAAAATGAAGAAGTTGATGAAAGCTTGTATATATGTTAATGGTATAGTGACTGAGTATAGATTTACAAGTAAACTTCACATTTTAATTTGTGTAATGAAAGGGGTTTCATCCTTTCTAGAGTTAAATAAGAGTTTTATAGTTCTTTGTAACTGTTTACAAAGGAAATAGCTATTCCTTTTAAAAAAGAATTGGAATGAAAGTGTGATTTGTTGGCATAGAAATATAGCAGAAGAAGTTTTATTCAAAGATATTTTAGCCCTTAAGGTATGCAGCAATGAAATTGTGTAAAATCTTTATTTTTTAATTTCATTTTCTGCTTCAGATTTCCAGTAAACATTCTAAAAAGTCATTTTCTCCTTTTGATAAAAAGATAAAGCTTTACTTTTAAATTTAGAAAAGGTTTCCAATGTCATTCTGTGATGTTATATCAAAATAAAGTTTACATTTGGTTGAGAAAACTATGTTCTTTAAGACAAAGGAAACAATAATTAGTTTAATAAAATAAATCTGATTGCTGATAAACATTGTTTCATATGTTCTATGGCCATTTAATTAGTAATTTTATCAGAAGGGTCTTGATCTCTTATTTCTAAAGTGAAAATTAACCCTCAATGTATTTTAATTCTAATTGGAGTTTTTATAGTTTTTATTTTAAGGTGAAATTCAAGCAAGTAGAGCATCACAGATAAACACTGGAGTGACAGAAGTATATTTTGGAAATTGCTACTGGTTCATAAAATTAATGGTATTGATTAGATGTTTTCTTTAAAGTTTATAAAGTTCAGAAAACCAAGCATATACTTAATACTTTGTTACTCAACAGTCTTCATATCAAGGCATGTTTATCATTTTCTGAACTGACCATGATATATTTCGGGGCATCCCATTGATAAAAATATTCACTGGAGGCCTTGTTAGTGGAAAGATGAGGAAGTTGGACTTATAAGAATATATGTGACTAGGAAAATTAAAATGGAGAAGAGCCGATTTGTTGTTTCTTTGAGTTTATGTAAGATGCAATCTCATTCCTAGAATCAGAGGTACGTTAAGTGCCAAAAACTGTTCTCTACACAGGTTCCAATATGATATCATGGCAGAGAACTGCCACCTAGCAGGTGGCAAGTTGAACTTAGATAAACCTTTGCAAATTCAGAATTCCCACAGTAGCTTTCTGTCTCCCCGGCTGCACACTGTAGCACCCTTTCTTGTTGGATTAGAACTTTGTGTGTTTTGAAAAAATATGAAACTCAACATTTTCAGGAATGAGAATTCTTACATGCCTTTTGTCCAGACTCACCAGTTGTTAACATTTTGCCACATCCAGCTTACCACTCTCTCTATATAGTATTATTATTTTATTTTTGCTCAACAACTTAGGAGTAGGTTGCAGACATCTGGGATCTTTAACCCCTATATATGCTAGCTTGTATTTCCTAAAATCAGGCATTCTCTTACATGGTCATAGTACAGATGATTAAATTCAGGAAGTTTAACAGTGGTACAATAGTATTATCTAATATACAGTCTGTATTCAGATTTTTCTATTCATCCCCAAAATGTCACTTGTGTTGATTTTTTTTTTCCGAAATACAAGATCATGCATTGCCTTTGGTTGTCATGTAAGTTTTGTCGCTTTGGAATATATATCACTTCTGTTCAGAATTAGAGAGTTGGTTTTTTGACTCATCACCTGCAAGCTCTTTTGAAGGAAAAAAAAAGGCTTTAGGGGTTTCAAGGGGGCTGCTTGCTAGAAAACCAAATTGCCCAGGTAAGAGGAACTTTTTTTGTTTTAATTTTGAAAAATTTGGCTGGGTTCTGGTGTCTTGACTCAGCAAAATCTATAATGCAGCAAGGCTTGGTAAGCATTAAAGGGGGTACTGAAGCTTTCCTTTATTTCATAATCCCGATTGTTTTTCTAGAAACCATCAATAGCCTCTAAATGACTGACTCAATTTTTGGATCCTATTCTCATGACTAAGCAAATGTTTGATTTGAAACCAGCCCAGTATAAATGTCTCTGTGCCTCTAACTCTCTGTAGCTATTCCTGGAGTTCAGCACTGGGAAAACCAATCTATGCACTAAAAATGTCTAAAACTGGAACCAAGGTAAGTAAATGGTCATGCTGATTTCTAGCGTACCCACTTTCTTTTCACCTAATGATACACTGAAAGAAACATGGAGAAAAACAGAAGCCTGGAGGTGAGTATGATCACGGTTAGAAGGCTAGGATTAGAGAAAATATTAAGAAATGCTTATTGTATTTCCTACTTTAACAGAATTACCAAAGAGTTTATTAAGGGTTTATCTTTATGTGTGGTACTATGTTGAATATTGTACATGTATGTAATGTGTAAATATCACCACATTTCTGCCTTCCAGCAACTAATCTTTGAACTTCCACAGGAATAGGACATGCACATAAGAGGATTATGTGGAGTTAAAAACTTAGTATTCAATTAAAAATTTGTCTTGTGAAATCTAGCCTCAACCATTAATATTCTAGAAGGCCAAAGTGGATGGACCAGTCAAGTGAATTAAATCCTACATACCCACTTCATTCAGCAGTTACGCTTACCCCTGTCCCCAAATACATTGCTTACTTGGGTTAGGAAAATTGCCTCTGAAATACTTGATTCACTATTGTTGGACTGGACACTGATTCTCTTCAGGAATGAGGGACTATACCTTCATTCTGTTTTTACTTCTTCCACTGACCATAGCTCTAAAGCAAAGCCTTGGTGCCTGATATTCCTCCCTAATGTTCTACTCTGAAAATGTTAAAAACCATTGAATCTTAAAAGAAGAAAGGTGTTGAACGAATACTCGTGTGTCATTTACTTATATTCTCCAATTGTTAACATTTTGCCATATCTGGTTTCTCTGTCTCTCTTTTAACTAAATCATTAGAAAATAAATAGCAACTTTGTTATACTTTTGCCTGAAGTATTTTAGGCATGTATATCCTAAAAACAGGGGTATTCCCTGTGTAAACATATCATGTCCCCCAAATTTATAAGTGTAATACCCAATATTCAGACTCTATTCAGATTTCCTTCAATTGCTCCCCAAAATGTGCTTCATGGCTGGCTTTTCCCCTGCTGTGGAATCCAGTCAAGGATCACACATTGCATTTGGTTGTCAAGTTTCTTTTAACTTCTTTTTGTTTGTTTGTCTTAGCCTCTTTCATATAAAACAGTTCCCCTATTTTTTGTTCTTGTTCCTTGAGACATTGACATTTTTCAAAGTCCAGACCAGGTGTCTTATGGAAAGTCCCAATATCTGGGTTTGTCTAATTGTTTTCCCATGTTTAGATTCAGACTAACCACTTTGGCAAGAAATCTACGTAGGCAACATCAGGTACTTCTCAGTGTATTTTTTCAGAAGGTATCTCTTAACTTGTTCCGTAATTGGTTAGTGCCTGATTTTTCTTCCCATTTGGAAAAGAGAACTAATAGTTATACTTGCATCTAGAAGGTTTGGGGAGAAAAATAAGACAGTGTTCTTTAGTGCTCTGAGGTTTTTGAAAAATGCCATGAAATGCCATGAAAATCCCACTAAAGAGAATCTGAAATCCTTCGAGGGATGTCCATGTGCCTGGAGGGGAGACTCTTAGAGAACATCCCCCACTTTTAAAAGATTTCCAGACTAGGAATAGTGTAATCTCTTTTATTTCTTGTAGCTGGGCTGTTCATTTAGTTAAAAACTGTTGTTGCTAGGCCAAAGGAGATAGTAATTCATCTCTTATTCTTCCTCTTATTGCTTCTCCCTTTCTCACTATCTTGCTAGCAATTTAATCACAGGAGTCATGGGCTTGGCAGAAGCAATGCATTTTACTAAGTTTGTTTTTGTTACCTCTGGAATTCTCAAGACATGTTTCTCTCTGCTGTATTGGATTAGTAGGCTATTTTTGAAAACATGAACTTGAAAATTAGAGGAATTTTATAATAACTTCTAGGAAAGTCTCCTGCACATTTCTTAGCCTTCTCTACAAAAATTTTTGCCTGAGTCCCAACCTCTCAGCTGACTGTGAAGTAGATTTCATGGTCCTTCTATAAATGGAAATTGAATAGAGCTGCAACATTCTCTGGGTCCTGAGATTTGGTCTCAGGTCTCCCACCACAAGGAGCGCTTGGCCCTGGGACTCAGTAGTGGTTCTGTGGCAACACTAGGGCTTTGTTTCTACCGTGGGATGATTGGCTGGTCTGCTGGAAAGGTGGACAGCAGGGAAGAATCATGTGTATTTCCACTTCTCAGATACTGAAGTCAGTCAGGTAAATGTGCAGAGGGTAGTAAGTGTGAGAAACAATGAAGGAAGAAAGCTGATATTAATTTCCCTTAGCGTATCCCTTGCAAAGCCTCTTTTTTGCTGAATAGTTGGCCAAAAAACAAAGGTAAATTGACTTAAGGAGTTTAGAATCTATCCATTCTTAGAGAAGTTATTTTGATTTTCCTAACAAGTTTCCCACAGGTTTTGGGAAAAGCCTTATCAGATCCAGGAACAGTCTTGTTCCATTTCTAAGAGTAAATGGTGTATGTTGAACAGAGCTAGCTGTGCAGGCAGCAGGACAGCAGAGGGAGATAAAGTAAAATAGAATGAACCACAGATCACTAACCGGGAGTCTGCACTGCTGTCCCCTGGTTTGCCTGCATCCAGCTTGTAACTAGCTAGTGACCTTGGGCAAGTCATTTAACTTCTTTATCTGTAACAGCTGTAGCCTTTTGGCAATCACGAGCCAACTATTAAAATTATTTTATCAACACTGTGCTGTTGGACCCTCAGAACAACCCTCTGCAGTGGACACCGTTACCCAGATTTAACTAGTGGTGCTGTAATTTTGTTTTCTCATCTGTAAACTGGGGTATCACGTACCTGTAAATCTGTGCTATGCTAAAATGGGAAGGGGAGTGGGAAGGGATGAGTATGGGAAGGGAAGAAAGGAGGTGAAGTAGGTGATTTAGGGGTGGGTAGGCTAAGGGAGCTTTTCGGGAAAAGGAAAGAAGAGAGTTGAGAGAGACAGGAAGGGTAGGGAGGGGAAAGATTACAGCTGAAGGAAAGAACTATTAGTAGGTTACTGTCCAGAAGGACTCACCTGGGGTAGAAAAGAGTGAGGTATTATTTTGCCCGGCTGCGAGTCATTCCTAACTTTCTCCCGCTCCTTCATTTCCTACATCTAGTTAGTCTCCACATCCTCATTTCTGTGACTGTTTGCTCATTGTTCACATCGCAGTTGCCTTTGGTTGGCCCTCGGCATCTCTCACCTCGCCCAGAGCAACCAGCTATTTCCAGGCTCAAACCACTGCCTTATTTCCCACATCACCCCCAGGGGGATCCTGGCCTGGCTCCTGGGTCACTGGGGCTTTACTTCCTAACCCTTCACCGCATACTCAACATGCACCAGGCTTAATGAACTGCTTGTCCCATTGGCCGGGTCCTTTCACTCCTTTATTCCTTCATACAAGCTGTCCTTTTGTCTCTGCCTCTGGAAAACCCTTACTTACCCCTCGACCCTCACCTCAGGGATCCTCTCCAGACTCTAACTGCCTCTGCTGCTTTCATCTGAAATGGCTGACTTGGTTTTTCGCCTTTTAAACCGATTGAGCTAATTAGCCACAGGGTGGCGGCATCACACCAGGGACTTGACTGCTCGAATGAAGGACACCTGTGATTTCAGTTTAAATTCTAACCGAGCATGGATCTTGGATGTGGAGTTCTAGAACAAGAAGGGACGAACTCTGTGGTCCGTTTGGTCTAGTGGTTTTCAGAAACACTGTCATGAAGCCCTGAGAGTTCCTGGGAATTCTGTCACCTGCTTCAAACAAAACTTATTTTACAGCCAGAGCTTTGAATCTAGTCCAGTCCTTTCATTTGCCAAATGGGAAGCTGGAGCCCAGAGAGATGGCTTGTCTACAAGGTGGCTTGTAGTAGGGCTGGCCGGAGAAGGGCAGCCTAGCCTTAGTATTTCCCATTTCTCTGGCTTGCAGAGTTCCCAGTGCCGTCACAGACCTCACAGGTCTCACAGGTTTACCCCAAAGACTGTGGTGAAACTTGGTAAGAGTTTGAAGCAAAGGACATTCTTGCCTTGTCATTTTGTTACTTTGCAACCACTCTTGTTGGCAATACAATAATAATACAGAATATAATATGCTATATTTTCATACCAGTATGTTTTATAACCATCTAAAATAAGCTCTAAGCTAAGGTCAGTGTCTGCATTTGGAACTCACTCATCTTCGTCCAGCTCTTGTGGGTTTTTCAAGCACTGGACACAGGGTTCCGTAGCCTAAACAACTCTTGGTTCTTGCCTTTGGAAGAAGTCTAGTAGGAGTTGGTGGGAGAGACAGATACACAAGTGGAAAACTCATTATATAATGTGATAAGCACAGTGAGGAGGAAGGCATGAACTTGAGTCTGAAACTACTGGCTTACAGCAGAGCACTCTTCTACTTTTTTCATTTTAAGCCTTCAGAAAGTACTCATGCCTGTTGTGGACAACAAAAGTTGTCTGCCCGAGGCACACGTTGTGAGGGAAGGCAGAACTGTGTATTTTCTCCTCAGGATTGAGGAGGAAAGAATTTCTAAAGTGGAGAACATGTTCTTAATTTTCACTTTTCTATAAATAAAGCCACCCAGCCCCTCAGATCTTCGCTTCGTCTGCCCTGTCCCTCAGATTACTTTCTTTGAAGACAAAAACTTTCAAGGCCGCCACTATGACAGCGATTGCGACTGTGCAGATTTCCACATGTACCTGAGTCGCTGCAACTCCATCAGAGTGGAAGGAGGCACCTGGGCTGTGTATGAAAGGCCCAACTTTGCCGGGTACATGTACATCCTACCCCGGGGCGAGTACCCCGAGTACCAGCACTGGATGGGCCTCAACGACCGCGTCAGCTCCTGCAGGGCTGTTCATCTGGTGAGTCTGGGGCTGGGGGGCTCGCGCGCTCTCTTCCCCCAACCCCTCCCTTCTTTTTTAGCTTCTATGTAAAAGAGTTTTCTTAAGATTTTCCTACCTCTCAATGGGTGGTTGTCCCTTGTTGGCTGCTGAAGCTTCAATAAAATCTTAGGTCAGTTCATTACAAGACTGAATACACTAATTCTTTCCATTGCACTTCTGCTACCTCTTGCATATTTTAAGGAATTAAGTTTTTCTTGTTGGAAGTCAGCTATGTCAGTCAGAGCACAGTGGGGATAAGCGTTCAGATCATCCCACTTTCGAGGTGGTGGGTTCTGAACCACACCGTTCTCCGAGTTCCTGGCTCGCTGTGTAATGGCTGCTGTTCATTTCCCGCTCTGTTTTTTCAGTCTAGCGGAGGCCAGTATAAGATTCAGATCTTTGAGAAAGGGGATTTTAATGGTCAGATGTACGAAACCACTGAAGACTGCCCTTCCATCATGGAGCAATTTCACATGCGAGAGGTCCACTCCTGTAAGGTGCTGGACGGTGCCTGGATTTTCTACGAGCTGCCCAACTACCGCGGCAGGCAGTACCTCCTGGACAAGAAGGAGTACCGGAAGCCCGTCGACTGGGGTGCGGCGTCCCCAGCTGTCCAGTCTTTCCGCCGCATCGTGGAGTAATGATGTGGACTGGGCCATGACCTTCTTCCTAGGGGCCAAATGCTGGCTGGCCTGTTCGTCCAAAAAAGCATCATAAATAAAACAATTGGCATGCATTCCACTCTTTACTGTAACGCCTCTCCTTAAACACTTTTAGGGACCAGTAAAGTAGCACCCGCCACAGCGGGCAGTTACACAAAGCAGCTCATCCTTCAGATTACCTGTCTATATCTTTGTGCCAAACAAAATGGGACTGCATTAAAAGGTTCGAAAATCATACTGTCATGTAGTGGTTCTTGTCGCTTACGGTTTGTGTTAATCCAACAGGGACAATAACGACAGCTGCCATTCAGTGTGTGCTTTCAGCATCCCATGGTCTCTTCCCAACAACCCTGTAAGAAAGGGGGCTTCTCTGCATTTTACAAGTAAGGAAACTGAGGCCTAGAGAAGTTAAAAACTTGCCCAAGTTCAGCAGCTGGTGAACGGAGGAACCAGGATTTGGTCCAGGGTATTTATGTTCCAAAGCCATTTCTACTCATTCATTCACCACGTACTGGCTGGGGACCTGTGTGCATAATGTAAGTTCGAGACCCTCAGAAATATAAAAGGTAGGAAGGGGCCCCCTGCAGATCTGACTGAGGAGACAGAATACCTGTCAAGAATAGTAAGTGACTGAGGGGAGAGTTCAGCTCAGTGGTAGAGTGCATGCTTGGCGTGCATGAAGTCCTGGGTTCAGTCCCCAGTACCTCCATTTAAAAGAGAAAGAGTAGTCAGTGAAAACAGGGCTATTACCTACAAATAACAGAGCCACAATTCCCGTGAAGTCCCTTATTGAAGATCCAGAGACTCCTGTGTCCTTTACTTCTCAATATTAAAGTTCAGTTTCTCTGTAAAAATGAAAGGTTGTATTAGACAATTTTCCCTACTTTACAATAGTTGACATGAGTTTTACTGAATTTTACTTACTTGGAGTAACCTCTGAGATTCTGTCTATTGAATCTTGATGAAGAGGAGAATGATGAAGGAAACGCGGAATCACTAGGAATATTCTGTGAGCGTCCGAGTGAACCCGGGGATATGCTGAATGCAGCTGTTTAATTTAAAAGATGGCAAAGCTCCTCTAGGAGCACCATGCTCTAGTGTATGGTGCGTGCTCTCCCCCAAGCATTTTTATTCGTTTTGTTAAATTCCCCTGCCTTTTGTCATTTTGTCTGTTTTGAGTAAGGGACCCTGAGGAAATTGAGTGAAAATAAGAGGGACCGACGATGAGCCAGGGAGGAGGAATGGGAGGCCGCTCGCTGAGCTGCAGAGAGCTTGGACCCCGTCACCCTCCCGAGACGCTAACTTTTCCGTCTCCAAAACAAGCGAGTTGAACCAAATGCTCATTAAATCCTGTCAAAAACCAACATTCTCTGAAGGCCAGAAGGAGCGCCCTGAGGGACTAGCTGATGACACTCACTGTTAGAGGCACAATTCCTGGAAGTGACTCAGAGACACTGCCGCTTCTTTTCTGCCGAGGAAACTGAGGCAGTGGGAACAGTGTGTTAGGGCCAGTCTCTCCTCTCAACCCCACTGCTGCTGTGTTCCAGCCTGTGATGAGTCGGCCACAGTCTGTTCAAAACAACCAGAAAAGCAGTTCTGGCAGCAGGAGGGGAAAACAAGTGTCAGGATGACTAACCACAGCCTCAGAGAGAAAGACGGCTTTTGACAGATAAACCTGAATTATCATTTTAAGGCGTTAGATGCCCTTTGGTTCATGCCCTGATCCAGAAAGAGATTGCAACCATTCTCCCCAGCTGTAGATACATCAATCAGCTTGCACTTAAAGGGAATTTTATGTGCAACTGGTATTAGAGGTCAAGAACTTTTGTGTCTATCAGTCTGTCCCTGGTCTGGGACAATGTTCTGCTGTGAGAGCAAGAAGCCAGCATCCTGCCTGTCAAGCTTGCCAAGAATAGCACCTGGGGTGTCATTTAGAATTATCTTCCTCTACCTTTTATTGTTTTGTTGCTCCGAAATGGGGGACATCAAGAAAATTGGACAAAAGCCAATCTTGGACCATTTTAGCTCTGCTTCCATCCTGAGCATTCCTCTGAGACAAGTCACTGACTCCCAACTGTGGAGCCCACTTCCTCAAAATGCAGTATCAGGGACTCCTATTTAAAGTCACCAGGCTACGGTTGCCCGCTTAAATACAGGACAGTAAGTCTCAAGTATTGGGGTGTAAGCACAGTATATGTATATCCTAAGTATTTGTCTGAAATTCAAATTTAACTGTGCATCTTGTATTTTATTTTCTAAATCAGTCAACCCTATATCTGATCAGCAAGGCAAGTTACACATAAGTGACAGGGGGCTAAAAGCACAGACAGCAGTGCAGGCTGTGGAAACAAGACAAATGTTCCACAAAAGGGCTTTACATACAATTTTTTAAAAACACTGGGAGCCAACAAAATGTATCTGCAGCTGGATTTGGCCTGTGGACCACCAGTTTCCAACCTTGGCTTGTTGGAGAGCTCTGAATATCAGGAACTGATCCTCACACCGAGGCAGATCTGCTTCCTGTGTCCCTGTAACTGTCAACCTGCGATCCTAGTTCCGCTTTCTACCTAGTTCTTCGTCCCCAAGATCGCCCGTTAGATATTCGAAGATCCCTCCCAGTTTGCCTCCACGCTCTAGCTGAACAATTCCTAGTCCTCCCAGTGTTTCTCTCCTGGCCTGCTTGGCTTCCAGACTCCCCACCCTGGTGCCTCTCTTCTGTGCGGATCACGATTCCCCCCACCACCCCCCACTACACTCCCCACCCCCGTCTTGGCTGCAGTCTAAGGCAGGCAGACTACATCCGGAGGGGGGTGTTGAGTTCTTTCACCCTCCTTTCTCAGATATATGCTGTTCTTGACTAAGCTCAGATCTTCTGACTTCCTACCAGTCCTGATACGGGCCTGGTCTCACTTTCCCAAGAGCTAGCATTTCAGTTCAAGGACTAAAGAGTTCCTGTTCCCTCTGAGGAGTTAGAAGTGGATTCAAATCTTGCCATTTGCCCATGTTAACTCTAAATCTCATAATCTAACATGTATAACCTCAATTTCCTTATTTGTAAAACAAACAGAATACTTACTTTGTGTGAGATTATGTATGAAAAATGCATTGCATACATTGTTTGTAGTAGTTATATTCTATAATGCCTGTGAACACTGAAGAGCAAACACTAAACTAGTTTTTCCTAAAAGAAATACAGGACTAGGTTTCTGTGAGTCTCTGGTCACAACATTCTTGTCAACTAACCAATACATAACCTTTTTTGTGCATTTCTGTTTAAAGACACCTTATTTAATGTACACTGTTGATCCATTAACACTGAACTCACAGCTAACTCATGCCTGCAGGAAGATTATCTAACACGTATTTTCTCTATAAGGCACATCACAGCCTTCTTGTGCTTAGGAACATTGGAGAGCATTTTGGCACTGCCTTTGCGGGTGATTTTATACAGCTAAATCATAAATCAAAAGGACAATGATGCAAAAAACATGGCACTAAGCACTGCAGAAAGGACTCGTTTCTAGTTGAGAGCTGAAGCAAGAAGGCCAGAGGGTTGGACCTCTACTGGGAATGGGCACATTGGGCGCCAAATTTTCACTGCTGTGTTCATGTTGGTAAATGACCTGAAAAGCACCATGAGCAGTGATTTGGAGATTACAAACAAATTTTATTGAGTGGGTGAATTCATGAATACAAAAATCTGTAATAACGAAGATCAACTGGACTTCCCACCATGGCCGACATGCTCATACCACCATCTCCTCAGCCTTAAGGACCTCTGTTACCAAGTTGTTCTGTTTTTTTTTCTTTCACTTGTTTAGCTTTTTCATACCTCTTTCTGCGCCCCAGTTGTTTTCAAAAAGCATCTCTGCATTTTTAGCAGATGCTTCATAGTCGGGAAGAAATACAGCAGAATCATCCAACCCATCCTTTTGCCTTGAAAAAGAGCCACCTTTCACAGGAGTCTGGCTTTCTCTTGGTTTTCCTATCTGCCTCCCTTCTGGTTCCAGCTGCCACGAGTTCCCATGGCCAGCAGGGTCCTCCCTAGAGCTCACACACATCCCCCATGTTTTCTCAAGTCTCAGTTTCTCTTACTTGGGGTCTCTCAGGCAACAGAGGGCAATGAATCACCATGTTTTCCTTCCAGCTCTTTGGCTGACTAGCCTTTGGTACATCCGGGAGAGAAAGATCCCTTGTGGGTATGACTCCCAGACACCTCCCTCCTCTACCTCTTCGCTCAAACCTCAAACTTCAAAATCAGGGAGTTTTATACCTGGAGGGGCTGGGGGCCTTCTCATTCACTGTAACAACATGGTGAGTTGGGGCTTACTAACCCCAGTTTACAGACAAGGAATCCAGGCTCAGAGAGGCTAAACAATGTGTCCATGGTCTCTGGTTCCAAAGTTCTGGTTCTTTCCACTGTACTGTGCAGTTTCTGCTTCTCAACCTTCACAACACAGAACCAGGGTACTCTGTCAGTCACAGCATCTCTGCATTTTTAGCAGATGCTTCATAGTTGGGAAGAAATACATCAGAATCATCCAACCCATCCTATTTCTTTTCTTTTCTTTTCAAGGAGCTTTATTGAGATTTAATCCACATACCATACAATTCACCTGTCCCAAATGTACAACGCACTGGTTTTTAGTGTATTCGCAGATATGGGAAACCATCTCCACAGTCAATTTTAGAGCATTTTTGTCACCTTAAAGAGAAACCCCGTCCCCTTTGGGGATTACCGCTTTTGCCCCCAGCCCTGAGCAATCAGTCATCTACTTTCTGTATCTATATATTTGCCTATTCTGGATATTTTAGGTACATGAAATCAGATAATATGTGATCTTTTGTGACTGGCTTCTTTCACTTAACTACGTTTTCAAGAGTCATCCTGTTGGATCACATACCCATGCTTCCTTCCTTTTTATGGCCAAATAATATTCCATTGTAGGGATATGCCGGATTTTGTTTGTCCATTCTCTAGTTAATGAACATTCAAATAGTACTGCTATAAATGCTTGTGTGCATGTTTTTATGTGGGCATGTAGTTTCATTTCCCTCGAGTGTATATACCTAGGCATGCACTTGCTGGGAGCGTGAGCTATTTCTTCTTAAATGCTGGGAGCCTGTGGGGACCTGAAGCCCCACAGCCCTAGGTTCAGTCCTAACTCTCCCGCTTTCTAGTTGTCAGATTTCAGGCAAACACATCTCTCTTAGCCTTAGCTTTCTTGTATGTGA